CCACTTTGGAAAGCAATTTGACAGTTTTTAGAAATACTAAACATATATCTACTTCATGATCCAAGAGAAATTAAATAATATGTCTATAGAAAACTTATAAACATTCATAGCAACTTAGCCTTGGAAAAAATTCAAATTTTCATTAACAGATAACTGGATAAATATATTGTGGTGTATGCATGCAATGGAATATTGCTCAGAAATAGAAAGAAACACGCAATAACATAACCTCATTAATCTCAAATTAAACAGACAATAACATAATCTCATTAATCTCCAAATATTTATAATGAATGAAAGGAGCCAGAAAAAAGAGTATATATAATATATGATTACATTTATATGTAATGATAAAGTTTCTACTAATTTATAGTATCAAAAAGCAGATCAATGGTTTTTAGAGGATGTCATGGATTGCAAAAGGCACATGGAAACTTACTGGGGTGATGGATACCTTAACTATGTTGATTATAATAACAGTTTTGTGGCTAGATACATATGCCAAAACTAATAGAATTATACACATTAAATATGTGTAATTTTGTTGTATTCAATTATACTTCAGTAAATAGAGAACTATACCTAAATATAAAACTACTCTGCTTAATGGTTTTGGGTTTCAATGAAATACTGAAATTTCTACAAGCATCTAGAAAGCTACTTCATGAAAAAGAATTTTAAAATTTGAGAAAATACTGCTTGAAGAAATACTCCAGTCCATTAATGAATCAACAGCATGGGAACAGAGAGAAAAGACACTGGCTATATGTGTAGATTAACCTTAATGTATTTGTTCATTCACTAATATATATGCCTGGATATATACTAGTAAACAAAATAGAAGACATTTTCCCCTCAGGTTTATATTCTACAATTATTACAATTATTTATCAAAGTCATGATAACGATAAGACCTTTATTCAATAAATTCTTTCTATCAATAATCCTAGATTACACTGAAAGAGATTTTAAAATGTCCTATAGGCCTGGTGCAGTGGCTCACACCTGTAATCCTAGCACTCTGGGAGGCCAAGGTGGGTGGATCGTTCAAGGTCAGGAGTTTGAGATCACCCTGAGCAAGAGCGAGACCCCGTCTCTAATAAAAATAGAGAGAAATTAGTTGGACAACTAAAAATATAGAAAAAATTAGCTGGGTATGGTGTCACATGCCTGTAGTCCCAGCTACTTGGGAGACTGACGCAGGAGGATGGCTTCAGCCCAGGAGTTCGAAGTTGCTGTGAGCTAGGCTGATGCCACAGCACTCTAGCCCAGGCAACAGAATGAGACTCTGTCTCACAAAAAAAAAAAAAAAAAAATCTATATTTTTAAATCATTCATTCACTTGCCATTGTCTCCAAAATAAAACCCAAACTTGTTTTAACTTTACATGTCCCTTACAGTTGGTCTGTGCCTTCAGGCACACAAGTGATCCTTTATTGATATTATGGACTTCTGTGTCAACTTCAGGTTTTCTGACTCCATGGATTTGGGATGGGGCTCAGAATCTGCAAATCCAGCTACAAATCCAACCATGTGATCCTGACGCTACTGGTCTGGCCTTCTTTTTTGGAAAACACTGTGCTAGCCTAAGTAATCATAGAGGTGAGTAACTTAGCCTAAATGTGACGGCACATTATGTAAATAAAGAAACAGATGTGAAAAAAAAAAGCTCACCAAATTATACAAATGCAACAATGGCCACCACAACCACACCTCAATCTCCAGGTGAATTGACTTAAAGCATTTTTTAAAATAAGAGAGAAACTAAATTGGATGATCTTCAGTAAGAAAAAAAAAGCTTAAGAATGTCCTTAAAATGTGACCAAACACAATCATAAAACAGAGATTTGAAAGAGAGGGAGAAGTTCAAAATATTAGGGCCAGGATTTCAGAGAAAAAGTGGCTCTAAACTCTTGACATTAAAAACAAAATTATAAGCAATTGCAACATCAACAAAAATAAGTAAATTGGACCTGATCAAATTAGAAAGCTTCTGCATAGCCAAAGAAACTATCATTAGTGTGAATAGACAACCTACAGAATGGGAGAAAATATTTGCATGCTACATATCCATATATAGAACTCAGGAAAATCAATAAGAAAAAAATTAAACAACTCCATTAAAAAGTGGGCAAAGGACATAAACAGAAACTTTTCAAAAGAAGATAGACTAATAGTCAAAAAACATATGAAAAAATGCTCAATATCTCTAATCATCAGGGAAATGCAAATCAAAACCACAATGGGATATCAATTAACTCCAGTGAGAATGACTTTTATCAAAAAGTCCCCAAACAACAAATGTTGACGATGCAGAGAGATAGGAACACTCATACACTACTGATGGGACTATGATATAGTGTAACCTCTATGGAAAGTAGTATGGAGATACCTCAAAGAACTAAAAGTAGAAATACCATTTGATCCATCAATCCCACCACTAGGCATCTACCCAAAGGAATAAAAGGCATTCTATAAAAAAGACATCTGCACCCAAATGATTACAGCAGCATAATTCATAATTGCAAAGATGTGGAAACAACCCAAGTACCCATCAATACATGAGTGTCTTAACAAAATATGGTATATGTATACTATGGAGTACTACTCAGCCACAAAAAATGGTGAACTAATACCTTTTGTAACAACCTGGATAGAACTGGAGACCATCCCACTAAGTGAAGTATCACAAGAATGGAAAAACAAACACCACATGCACTCACCATTCAATTGGCAATAATTGATCAACACTAATGTGCACATATGGGAAGTAACATTCATAGGGTATCAGGCAGGTGAGAGCAGGGAGGAGGGGATGGGTAAATCCACACCTAATGGATACAGTGTGCAATATCTGGGGGATGGGCATGCTTGTCAGGCAGTGCAAAGGCAATTTATGTAACCAAAGCATTGTACTCCTGTAATACTCTGAAATTGAAAAAAAAACAAAAACATAAAAAACTTGAAGAGCAGATGAGTGAATTCACACCTAATGAGTACAATGCACACTATCTGGGTGAAGGACACACTTATAATTTTGACTCAACCTGTACAAAAGCAATTTATTGTAACCAAAACGTGTATATCCCCATAATATTCTGAAATTTTTTAAAAAAGCAAAAAACAGACATTCCTTTCCTTTCCATGTGTCATTGCTAATTTTTATGCTTAGTAGGTTTAATTTAGTTCATAATTTTACATTTATTTTTGCCATAACTAAGTGTATTTACTCCAGTTCCTTTACTACAATTACAAAAGTCAATGAAAATCTTTGTGTATTTTTTTGTGGTATATGATTAAAAATCAATCTGGGAAATTTTCATTTATTCCATGATTTCATAACGTATCTTTTACTGGCTATAGCTTGATTTAAGTTACTTCGCAATTGTAATGAATATCTTTGATTTCAAAATCCCTTCAAATGACTTAATTTGTATTTCTCAGCAGATGTTTGTTATCATTCAATAATCTTTTATCAAATGGCCTATCCCAGCCCAAGGACACAGTCTAGAAAACAGCTGTCAGTCTCCCAGTCTTCAGGAAACACTCTGTCCTCAAGAAAGATCCAAACAGTGACTGGGAAAACAAGTCTATTCCACAAAGCTGCTGGAGACCTGAGAAAGACTTCCCAGGGACCATGATGAGATGAGGACATGTCGTGGATTAGGAGAGAAGATCTAGTCCTAACAGAAGAGAATAAAAGAGCGAAGTCTGTATGGATGGTGACCAAGAGACACTAAGGCCATCAGGAAGAAAGGGGGGTGAGTATAAGGATTAGGTTTGAGGGGAATGGAGAAGAAAGTGAAAAGGCAAACAATGCTATCATGGTTGCATATCAAAAACATGACCACCTTCTCCACAATTAGGAGGAATTGGGGGCAGGTAAAATGGGTAGTAAAGACAGGAAAGGGTGAAAACTGAAATACGTGAGTTGATTTCCTCTGTTATTGGAATTTTAATTGTACTCAACATAAACTTTGACCCTGTCTTGACCAGTAGAGAAAATAGCAATAAAGCCAGTTCTCCATAGAGACTCTGAATCGACTTCATTGTTCTACTTCATGGTTTGCCTATTTCTGCTATCCTTACTGCCCACATCATTTTAGATCTTACTAACATGTCAAGATACCCTCCTTGTTCACCAGATTGCGAGTGCCTAGTTGGCAGTCTGTTGTTACTTTGCTTGTTTGGCCTGCAACTTGTAGGTGTGAAGTAAAACCTAAATGTGCAACATTAAATTTGAATTGGATCTTGGAAATTAACTAGCAATATGTCTTTATTTTACATGGGAGGAAACTGAGATGCAGAGAAATTAAGTAATTTGCCCATGGTCTCATAGCTAGTGAGATTTTGATAAAATGATGATTCTACAGACTCTTCTAGAACAGCCATGAATTTTAATTCATCTACCTTGTCTTGAAGGCATAAATTTTAGGTTGCAATTTGTGAAAATGGACTTTTTCTATTAAGTGTTGCATTAAATTTCTTAAATCAATATGCACGACTATTTTAAAAGAAGATTTTTTTGACAAATCTTTATTATTAAAAAGCCATAATAGAATATGTTTAACACTAGCTCTTCAACATTTTTTTTAGTTTTGGGGAGAGTGCACATTTATTCTTTTGAAATAATGGAACCAAAGTAAAGAATATGTTTAACACTAGCTCTTCAACATTTTTTTTAGTTTTGGGGAGAGTGCACATTTATTCTTTTGAAATAATGGAACCAAAGTAAAGAGGGAACATTTTACATCACATAAAAATCAAATCTTGGGAAATATTTGACTCCATAAGTAAACAATCATACTCTATGGGGCTCAAACTAATAACTCATAGTATCACTGACCTGATATTTGCTGATAAAAGTAGAAAAATATTCTGTTTTCTACAGCTTCATTTTGGAAACATTTGTCATTGTCATCAGAGTATAAGCTATGCTTAAAATATTTTTTTAAGTTTAGTGGAATAAAATCCATTCATTTCCAAAACAGTGTACTTACTGATTCAGGACAGGTGTGTACGAAGTTTTGTCCTCATCAATAATAGTGACCATCAGTGTAATAAGTTGAGGCCAAAAGTCCAAATTCTTGGTAGTTGGTCCCTGATCTTCCCGAGGAATGTCCTGTCTCTTACTCTGCTCAGGAGTTCACACAACATGCAAAAGAAAAGGTTAAATGGGATGACTTTAGTTAGATGTCACTGTCAAACAGAAGGATCAAAGAAAAGTGATCATGGAAAAACTCTTAGATCATGTAAGCCAAAGGTATTAAATTCAGGTTTCCTTTCTTCATTGAATGGCATCCCATAGGATAAACTCAGCGGCCAGGTTTATATTTCTAATCACTCTTCTTGTTTTTCTTCTTTCTTGGTTTAACTTCTATAACTCTTTTACTCTTTATTTTTATTTTTTTTTAGTTTTAGACTGGAAGTTTCTTCTTCCTCAAACTATAGCTATTCATGACCTTAGGAATTATTATTGTAGACATTATCCCTTTACTGTGGCTTCTTCCAAGGATAAAGATTGAACTTTGTGTGTGTAAAGATTTGTGTGTACAAAGGTGTGTGTGTGTGTATCTGTGTTTTTTTTTACTCCTTGAATATTTTGTCAAAATTCACATTGGTAGGTAGTGTGCAGAACTCAAAGCAGACTGGTTATAATATCAGCACAGTTAAATTCTACAATATATATATACACACTACATTAATAGCCTTGAACTCTCTTATCCTGCCCACAAATTTATCTAGCTAACTAAAGTTTTGTAAGTCAAACTTTTACTCTTTTTCCCATTATTTAAATTATCTCTGAATCTTTCTCAATTTACCACACTGCTTGAATTCTTTAATTCTCACCTCTCAAAGGCAGAATGTGACACGGGATGATATAAATTTGCTTTGAGGTTAACAGAGTACAATAACACTCTTTCATGTTTCACATATAGATTTCATTCTCAACATATGCAGTCTTTCCCAACAAACAGATAATTTATTCTGGTTATTTATTTTGGTGGGAATTCTTCTTAGAGCAATTCTGTTACATTTACTTTTTAAAATTAGGCAAAAAAAAAAATGCAATCAGAGATAGTTTTCATTCAAGTATACAAATAAGTGGGAAACATATGGCTTCTTTGACAGTTTTAGCTAAATCATTTACAAGCTTGTATGTCCAGAATATCTGAAAACTTTAATTTGTGGTTCAGGAAACAAAGACTCTGATGTAAAATGTGTTGGGTATGTACAACCACAATGAGTAAGATGTGCAGCATTTGTGGGATGGACATTCTTGAAGCTCTTACTCGAGGGGGGAGGGGGGCATGGGCAAAATATGTAACCTAAACACTTGTACCCACATAATACGCTAAAAAAAAAAATTTCATTTGGCCCAATCTATTGCTATATCCAATTGCCATGTCTTCTGCTGTAATGGGAAGAGCAGCCATTCTCTGCTGAATTGTGTATCCATATCTTCCAGTGCCAATTATGACATGGAACCATATTTGGATGAGTTATGTTGTTATTATTCTCATTTAAGTTCAAAGATAGTCCATAGCAAATCCACTTACTACAAGAGACCTCTATATGTAGACTACTAAAATGTACCTTTAAGGACATGTATTTCCCTAGGGTTCTGGTAAGAGCTGTTGATTACCTTTATGTTCAAAATGTAACAGATGTTAAAACTGGTGGAGCTAAATTAAAATGGTCAAAAAATTAGTGGCTGACAAATGACTTCAAATATCCAGAATAAATTATAAGCCATATCCAAAGGATCCTAAAAATCTTGTATATCTAATCCTTGAGAACCAGTTGAAACTCCTTGACAAGCTTCCTCCTTCAATTTCTGAGGTATATCAAGGTATATCAGTGGATCTTTAGGAGGAAAAAGGCAACAATACAGGCTTACAAATATCAAGCTTTGCCAACTTTTCAGTTAAATTTTAATTGAAATTTTTATTTATCTTGTGAATAGGGCTTTATTATGGCTACAATAATGTAATTATTTATGCATTGTATTAAGCTCAATACATTTCTAAAGTATCTAGAAATCTGGAGAAACTGGTGAGTTGTGAAGGTTATAAATAAAAGTAGTTATGGCCACAGTCAACTATATTAGAATACTGTCATCAATCACCATGATGTGTACATAGCCAAATTACATGCCTTCCATATTTTAAGTAATGTGATTAAGTGAAGGGAAATGATTATAGATGATATATTTAACATTACGTCCACTTATCAACATCTGTAAAAAGTGAAATAAAAAGGAGAGACAGAAGTATTCAATATGCATTAATTCCCAGAAGCCTTAGCTGTCACAAATTGTATTTCCATCATTCTTTTTCATGACACCAGAGGATTATTGATGTTCCCATTTTTTCCATCAAACTTTGTAAGTTGCATCAGAATAAAGCAAACTGGATTTTGAATTATTAAGTTTTTGCATAGCACACAACAGTATCATAAACCAGGATTCCCCTGCTTTAAGAATGTATTATAGTAGACTGTATGCTTAAAAGGATGAAGTACAATCGGGTATATTATAATATTTACTCTATTTCTTAAGTACTGAATTTTTCTAAGTAACATTTTATTATTATGTTCTAGAAATCTTCTAGGGTATTTGACCTTATGATTGAAAAAAATAAGGTAATGGTAGAATTTTCAAAAGCTAATAACAAGTATATTAATTTTTACTAAAACCTTTATGAATTAATATTTATCATGGTAAGAAAATACAGTAATTATAAACTCATTAATAACAACAAATAAAATTATAACTCATTTATAAAATGATGGCTTATATCAATTATAATTATAGTTATTATTATAGCTATGGCTAAAATATTTTAATGGATTATTGAGGAAAGAGACTTGAAAGTCTGTGAGGATAAAATGGGGAAAGGATTTTTTGAAAGAGGAAAGTTGTCACGGTATAGGATAGGTTGAAGAGAGGTTTCAACGGTCATGTTTACAAAAGATATTTCAATATAGGAAAGCTTATACAGACAAGCTGATGAGATGTATACTACACTTTCATGATATCAAATGGGAAAATATAAGCATATTCATTAAGAAAGAATCAATGCACAGAAAGAACCATTACATGCAAAAAATGAATTGAAATAACAGATGATATCTTTTAAAGAGATAATGTATAGAATGGGATAAAATATTTTCAATCTATATAGTTAATAAGGGATTAATGTCTAAAAGATGTAGGAAACTGAAACAACTCAATAGCATGAAAACAAACAATCTGATTGAAACATGGGCAAAGAACCTGAATAGACATTTCTCAAAGGATGATACACACATGGCCAAAAGATATATGAAAAAATGTTCAACATCACTCATCATCAGGGAAATGCAAATTAAAACCACAATGAGATATCATCTTACACCTGTTAGAATGGCTATTATCCAAAAAAGGAAAGATAACAAGTGTTGGTGAGAATATGGAGAAAGGGAATCATTGCATGCATACTTTTGGTAAAAATATAAATTAATACAGCCATTATGGAAAACTGTATTATCTATGTATCTTTTTCATAAAATGAAAAATAGAACTAAATATGATCAATCCCATTACTGGGCATATATCCAAAGGAAATGAAATCAGTATGACAAAGAGATAACTACACTCCCTGTTAATTGTAGCATTATTCACAATAGCCAAGATATAGAACCAACCTATGTGTCTATTCATGGATGAATGGACAAAAAATGTGGTATATATATACAGTGGAATATTATTCAGCCATAAAAAGAAAAGAAATCCTGCCATTTTCAGGAAGATAAATTAACCTGCAGGACATTGTTGGGTGAAATAAGACAGGTACAGAAAGACAAATATTACAATGTCATAGAAGTTGAAAGTACAATGGTGGTTACCAGGGATGGAATATTTGGGATCAGGGGAGAGGCCAGAGACTTGTTGGACCAACAAGTCAAAGGATACAAATTTCAGTTAGATAGCAGGAAAAAATTCAAGAGATCTATTGTACAACATATTGCCTATAGTTAACAATATATGGTATTCTTGAAAAATCCAAAGAGAATAGATATAAATTACTTTCACCACAAAAATAACTATGTGAGGCAGTGGATATGTCAATTCGCTAGATAAAGTCATTCTACAAAGTATGTATTATTCAAAACATTAGTTGTACATGATAAATACAATTTTATCTGTCAATTTAAAAATTCACACCAAAAGTGTCTTGGGAAAATGTAAATTGTAACTTATACAGCCAATGTAAAATAAACATATTGAGGAGTGAAGTTTGAGACTATATTCAAAACTGATATTGACTGGTGTTTTTCTAAGTCTCGTCCATGGATCATCTACATCAAAATCATGTAGGCTGCTTATTAGAAACACAGTTTGTTTTAGAGCATCTGTTGTAGGACTACTAAATCAGGATAACTGAAAATACAGCCTGGGAATCTGGACTTATTTCTTCATGTTCTTAGGAAGAGCACACTACTACCTTGTAAATAAGTCAGGTAAAAATAGGTATCATTTTTTAGGAAGAAGAGCGATATAGTTATTCCTGGATGCCAGTATAAGTCCCTGGGTTTGATAGATTTTTGCATTCTTCCATAATAACCACAGGCTTGTGTTTCACATCTGACTCATTTCCAACTATACACAGGTGTCTGATTTTAAGAGGAGGTGGAAATTTCACTAAGTATTTATGTGGTATCCCTTTCAGCTCTTGATAGACTTCAATGCTAGATCCTTTTGTAAAACAGTATGTTTTATATAAACATTCACTAGGATATTACTGTTTTTTTTCAAATAACTTAATATACTAATGCTCATTGAGAATAAAAATACCAAGCAACTAGTAGTTTTAAGAGTAATTATTGAAAACTAAAAAAAAAAATATTAATCAGGTTTGAAACCAGGAATTTCCATATATTAGAATATTTCTCTTTCATTATAGCAATATATTTAAAGAATCTTCCCTGGGTCCTTTCAGCTTCAAGAAGTCAGAGGAATCCTGACATCTTAATTGCCAAAACAGCATTTCAAAGTGTTTGGGCACACTAAGTGGTTTTTAACATCTTTAAATGGTTCCATGAATCTGAATAGACTGTATATGCTTAAAAGTTCTATATGTAATTATATCA